ATCACACATGCTTCTTTGTCCGCCTTCACCACACCGTTGCCGTGCTTGGCCAACAACAGCACCCTTCCCCATCTCGTGGTGGGAGAAGCACTCTATTTTACGATTATTCTCTGCTTACTTCCAAGGAATTTTGCTGTGCTGCTGACTTACAGGTCTCCCGGATCCCTGGGGACCCAACCGCCCTGCCACCCGCTTGCGGCCTAGCCGCGTGTGATTCGGACGGCGCTATCTGTGACTTGACATGGACCCGCAGAGAGGCCACCCCCCGGTTTTACGGCCGGCACGAGCCATAGGCGAGGCAACGTCCGCGGACGACGGGCACGCTAGGGCTCGCGCGCGGGGCGATGCGGGAGGAGGGGAGCATGTAAGTTGGTGGTGGTGGCGGGCTTCGGACCCGGGGGTTCTCTTTCACTTCGAGTCAAGCTTGACGTGAGAGGAAGGAATTGAATCGGCGACCGTGATTGTTGGTGGCGCCGGGACCATTGTCGATGACTTACATAAGTTGAGTCTCGGAGAGGGGGGTTCCAAAATGTCTTCCATCTCACTTGCTAATTCCCCTCGTATTCCCATCGGCGTGTCTCGGGAGATTATCTGGGGTTTTCCTTGAAGCCGTTATAATGTCTCGAACCTGTGCCGTCTAGCTCAGACACATGGAGAGGCGGCGGGGGATCAACGGTGGCTGGGTCGAGTAGAATGCGTGACTCGGGAACGACGATCTGTGAAATCTCATAAGAACGACGAGAACTTCTTCTTCCCGGGGGGAGGAAGCGAGCGACCAAGCGGTGAGCGTAAAAATGCGCGTCGACGTGATGCAAGATGCATATCCCGTGGTCATGTGCCCTTGTCCGACGTACGAGGAAAAGGCATCGGGGCGGCGGGCGGGCGGCTGGGGGTACGGGCTTGTAGTAAGAGTCATTTGGGAGCGGAAGGTGGATTTTCGCCTTGATTATTCGTGCCACGATGGAATTCCTGCCCTATTGCTTTTTTTCCTGAATTGTGTCTTGGCCCAGGTCAGGTTCTAAACGCCCGTGGTTGGGCACGTGGTTCTCGTGCGACCCCCGTTTTATCGGGAAGGTCGATGACATAGAGCTTGGCCTTTCGTGGGGCTGGAGAGCGAATTGCTAATTGATTGGTATTCGCGACGCCATTCCTCGTGAACTTTTGTCCTCGTTCGCCGAGGACCGGCGGCGCGGGGCGTGGGAGCTTGATTTTTTTTTCTTGTGAGCGTTTAGCGCGCAGCAGTTGTCGGAGTAGCAATTGGCTTTGCGAATGTGACGAGATTGATTGCGAAGTCGGTGAAGAGAGGTGTTTGAGCGCCTAGGTATGCGGAACCAACTAGCGAGGTGGAAGTGACGGTGTATATCGTATTCGTGCGTTAGTTTACGGGAACTTCGATGAGTTGTGCTGTTGCTCGTTGTGTTGAGGGTTTCCCAGCCATTTTCGACAACTCACAGTCACCGTTGTGTTGTCAATCGGAAAGGTCTCAGTCGACGTGTTGATTTTCGCATGCGAATGCCTTACAAGGGTTGGCGAAGTACCATCGCTCGTCCTCCCTGCATGCGAGTTATGTATGTTCTGAAATCCTGGTTCGGGTGATTTGCATCAGATTCCCGTCCGCTGCACGAACCAACGACGCACCGGCCTTCGATGCCGGTCCCGGACTAGGGACGGGACCCGCTCCGGGAGCGTGCGGGGCCGGGAAAACGGGAGTCTCAGATCTAGCCCCGCCCGGCCCGCGTTCCAACGGTGAGGGAGGGGGGCTTAATTTGACGACGTCTGATTCAAGATGGCTTTATTGGAGGGTTATGACGGATATATCGTGGTTGTGAGCATGCTTGTTACTACTGTTGATCGTGATTCCACTAAAGATATCCGGTTTCAGGGTTGCAATGGAACTGTCTTTCAGCTACCCGTTAGTGCGATTCGTCGGCGGTTGGGTTTTATCAATAATTTTGGTACAAGAGATTCTCTACAGCTCATAGGAATACATCTTCGCCTCAATAACCTGGTGACGACGAGAAGCGCTGGTATTGATGATTACCACGTCGATAACAACGACGGCAGTAATGACGATGACATACGGAGAGCCATAGACCCACCGAAAATATACATTCAAGCTGCCTTCACAACAAGTGGAAGGCTATTGTTGAGAAGCAGACTGTTTGTAATACTACCTGCTTCCTTGTTGCGAGGTTATATATGTCTTCTTGGCTCCATTCCACGACGAATCGTCATCAATTGGTGATCCGTTCGAAGTCCAAATCCGCCACCGTCTTCGCCGACATGCGCCAGTCAAACTACACTGTCTTTGTGCTCGGCACTTTGAGGTCCTGGTCTTGACAATGGCTGTGCCTCAGCAGGACCAGAAGCCAGCCTCGGTCGTCACGGCCTCATCTCCATTGTCAACCACGACTACTAGACAATAGCGGCCTTGATACATGAGCTGACATACACTTACCATGTCATCTTCCATTGTATTTCAATCGGTTCTTGGGAAGCCTGCAAAGACGTCTCTCAGCTCACAGAGACTGGCTTCCAGGAGCATCCAAAGACGTCGTTCTTCGCCTCCTGCCTCAAGTTCGCATAAACAAATTTTCAGAGCTAGAGAGTTTGGTGAAACTAAAACAAGGCACCTGGATCTCACTTGTCGCGGGATCTCAGCATGGAAATCCATCGTGAGACGCTTTCGGGACTCTCACGGGACCTAGTTGGATGCCGGATTCCTTCGGCATCATAGCTCTTCATTTCTTATGGTGGGAGGTTGGTGTAGAAGTTGCTCCGATACATTGAGTTCAATAAGTAGACTGAGTATGTAGGCATTGTGCATAGCATACCTTGACTGATATGAGACATGACTGTCATGTCCTTCGCCTGGCTGGCCTTTTCGAAGTTCAATTGCAATTGGAAAGCAGTCCATTCACTAGGTATCCATGCCTCCCATGGGCTAAAGTATCCTCTGGTGTATAACAAACCTACCGACATCATCAGTTCAGAAGCACAGGCTTTGAAGCATCCAATGAATTAGGCCACGCTGTGAGGACATTGTCTTTATCTGATAGACGGTCTGAAAGCAACTCTCACCCATCTAGTCTTGAATTCCGTACAAGAATGAACGAAAAGTCCACAGCCCAGTACATTCGTCCCGCAAGGAGCATCGTGTCATGACTCACCCGTTTTCCGACGGAAACCTGATCCCAAGAGGTATGAAAGCTACGGGTTTCCGCACATGCAAAGCAGTGGGTGCAATTCCTGCAATTCGTTGGCGCAAAGATCTTCCTAGCCGTGATGCCGATGATGCCTACAATGACGACTAGTATGTCGCCTAAGTCGCCGACGAACTCGATTCTCTACCCATCCCGTCCACCCGCTCTTTCTTGCAATCCGAGTATACTTCCCAGTTGACTCACTAATACCTTGCCGTCAACCATAATCCACATCCGTCATGACACTCGATGACGGTATAACGAGGTCGTGACACGCGATTCACCAGCTCTCCGACCCCAAATCTCAGTATTAAAGGCTGTTATCGTCACAAAATCCGAAGCTCAAGCGCACCAGCCACGGTCGCCGGCTGTTGCAAAAAAACGCACAAGCACCGGAGCACACTGAATGGTGCTTTGAGGAATTGTACGACAAGTGAGTCCTACGAGTAACTATGGACTAGGGGGTAGGTGTGCAGCAGTCGGGACCTATTTGCCCCAGGAATATACGAATGGTGATAATGGAAGACACTGATGGACAGATATTGTTGGAGGTGACTGTATGCATAAGATGGCTGGCTGGAGAAAGTCCTGCTCTTGCTCTATTCATGGCTGCCAGCAGCCAACTTATTTGAGGAGACCCAAGGCAATGAGAACCAACTGACCTCTCCATGGTTATCTCAACACGTACGTCCAAGGGTGTCAAATTGATCTAGAAAGTGACGGACTCCGCCACACTAAATAACCGAAGGTAGAAACGCACCTGGAAGGACATGTCATCGAACTTGAGGGTCTGCTCGTATCGCGAAACAAAAAAGTCGTGTCTTGCTGCTGCAGAATGGGCACTTCCATGGAGATTCTTGAATAAAAAGGCATAGCAGCTTAATTCAACCTCTTACTTTGTAAAAGCAATTGAACTCAGACCCATTCATCCTGATTCCGCTGCAGCACGGAATTCAGAGAATGATGTTTTGGGGACTTCTACGACGAACAGGTAATTCCGAAACAGACCTATAGCCGCATCCCGTCAGTCGTGACCTATCCGCCCAAGCAATACATCAACGATGACGATGAGAGACCCCGAGAAATGGACGTCGTCGGAGGAAGGGCAATGGCACACGTCAGGTCGCCAGAGAAGCGTCTACACCGGCCGGCCGACCACGATTACAACATGAGGTGTCCACGCTACAAATCAGAGGCGCCCGAACTCAGAGCTGCCGGAGCATCGTGCCCGTCACTCCTTACCTAGGGCTGGCGGACAATTTATACGGAGGCCCTACTCTCACCAGACTTCCCGCGAACTTGGGTGTGTCTTCGTACGCCAAGTGACTTGCCCGGGGATATGTATGGGGAGTACGCGCGGCTCGATTCTCAGTGAACATAGGATATGACAGGTTCGAGATGTACAACCATAGCATTCCGTTAATATGATTCTCTGTCGTGAGTTCTAGGATTCTCAGTCGGACAGATGGAGTACACTCAGATCGAAACTTCGGAGTCTATCTCTTGTTGCTGCGGGTAAAGCTCATCATCCACCCTACAAGAAGAAAGACATACTCATCGATGAACCTTCGAATCTCAACGACATCTCTCTGCAGAATCCGGCTGAAAACCAACCCTCGCTCAGATCATCGAGATCGCTCATCGCTCGATCATGCTATCGTAACTCATCAAACCACCACACTCCCTCATCAAATCCCCGAGAAATCTCACAAACCGAAAACATCCAAGACAACCACCAGCAACCCATTCCATCCCATTTTCCCTCTCCCAACCAACTCAACAACCCAACAAACCAACTCAAACACCCTGAACCTTCCAATAAAACTGCCTCATCCACAACCTCTCCAAAAACCAGTCCCCGTCAACCCGTCTCCACGTCTCATGATAATGCCCCGCGCCCGTCCCATGCATCCCGTCCGCCCTCCCCGGCGCGCCCGCGTGATACACCACCGTAAACACCGCCTTCACCTCGTCCCCGTCGCTGGCCCCGTCCCCCCTCGCCATCTCGAGCTCGCCGGCGTTGACCATGTGCACGGCGTCGACGTGCTTGTTGGTCGCGGAGAAGTACCCTAAAAAGCCCTCGAGCGAGGGCCAGTCGAAGTCGACGCCGTTCTGGTGCACGACCCGCTCGGGCGCGCCGTCGTTGTAGACCTCGACGAACTTGAAGGTCGCGGTGGGCAGGGCGATCTGCGGGAAGAGGTGCCACTGGTTCGTGTCGGCGAGGCGGCAGTATTGGGCCTTTTTGCGGCGGATGGTTTCGGCTGCTTCGTAGGGGACGATGGACATTTTGGTGTTTGTGTATATCTCTCAGTTCTTGGTAAAGATTTGTTCTTCACAATGGCATCAACAGATAGGGATAAGAAGACGAAACAGCTTTGCCTTGTCTGTCTACATCTAAACCACAGATCTCGAGGCTCTCGCCATATATGGCGTTCATCACCCCCCGCGAGTTCCCAAGACCCCAGCCTTAGAAAGAGGGGTTGAGCGGGGACTCTAATCCATAGCTCGTTCGTACCCTTGGACGAGCAGCACAATCACACGTCGTTGAGAGGAGGCGACCGATGGTGGTCTGACTGCAGAGCTTCCTTCACGAAGCGGGCCCTTCGACCCAAAATCGACCACACACGTTCGTTGCGAAGTCGCAACACTGAAGTTGCTGAAGAATATCTGGGCTCGCCAAGCGGTCATTAGCCAATTAGAGACAACCTGCCACGTCGAAGGAAGCTCCTTCATTGGCCGAGTTGTGTGAGCGTTGAAGAACTCGCAGCTGAAGAGTTATCTCTGCATCAATCGTCCCCAGCTTGTCCCGCCCAAAGCGGCGAATGGGTGTACTGATGTTCCCGCTTTTGATCCAAGGTATGCAGTCTAATAGAAGTAAGGCTCTCCAGGCCAGGGAAATGTGAGTCTTGGAAATGCCAGAGGAGATGAAGTGCGGTTGCGATATGCTCACAACTCCGCGCTTGCGGCAACCATCAAAACGTCCTCCCAATCTCAACCGTTATTTTGCAATACACCGTTTCCGGAAGCACAAATTCCAGTTGAATTTGTGCAGACGTTTGGGAACCGTGCACCAATCGGTTCCGTCTGTCCGGGTAACTAATCCGGTTGGGAACCGAACAAGAGCCGGACGCACCTGAAGCAACAGCAGCGGGCAGAAAACCCGGCAGAGCCAGAGTGAAGGACGCGAAAGAGGAGGCTAGGCCCGTTCGGGGCCCCCTGCTCCGGGTCCCGCAAGCCGCTGCCGGCCAAATTCAGGAGCTCTGCGTTTTGAACAAGGGGACCCGGCGGTTTTCTAGAACTTCTCAATCTCGCCTGGCCGCGCCGCGCGCTCCACAGCACCACACCCATCCATCCTCCCGGTCGGTGCACACTGCGCCGGCGGACCTACTTTCAGCATCTCTACCGCGGACGGGCAGGCGGGAAACAAGGGACGGATGGGGAGGGGGCAGAAGTCATGGCGGGCTAGGGGAGGGGAGCTAGAGGTAGGGATGGGTTAGCTACCCGGGCTAAAATCACGAAATTCGCAAAGAGAACAGCCGACCGGGCGCCTGGCACCGCGATGGCTGGGAGATGGGGCGTGGGCTAGGTTGAGATTTGCTCGGCCTTCGCCTGTGTTTGCGAAATAGCTGCGACGCCGGGCCGCGGACGCTTGCTGGACGACGGCGCGCTCCCACTCAGTTGAAGGGTCGAAGAAGGATGAATGGATGTTCGGTGTGGCGTTCGTTTTCGGTGTCGATACCCGTTCTTTCTTGGAGTTGCAGGTTCCGCGACGGATGGCTTCCTGTACTCCGTACTGCCACCGCGGAAAAGAAAATGGAAGAGCAAATTGTCAGTGTTACCGTTTCAATCTGAACTTTTTTGCTATTTTTCCTTGATCGTCGACTCAGTCCCGTCGCTGGCACGGACCGGATGCGACTCGATGCAGCCGGACGAGCCAGTCAGGCATGTGTCGGAGTAGCATTCGTCTCTTCTCCAGGTCGTCTTGTTTAATGGACATGAAACAAGACGACGAAAAAGGAATTCGCTGGCATTGGCGAGCTTTGGGAATTCTCGCGTGTGCCTGCCGCGGCCACTCGTCGATCGCTGCGTCCTCAGTCCTTGTCCACGGGCCGCCGCCGCCTTCAGAGGCAAAAGACGGGGGACGGGAGTTATCGATTGCCCCTGCATGCGCCATCGCTGTGGCTTTCCCTTGCGTGCCTGTATCACGCCTATCGTGACTGAAAAGGGCGGCGACCAACAGCTCTTCATGTTTCCCACAGGACAATCCGATTCGGAAGGGAATACTGCCGTTGATGGCGGGGACCAGTCATGTTGCGAGAAAGGACCTCTGGCGTCTGATTCGAAAAAGGGCGAGACTGAGAGAGATACGAATAATCACCAACGCCCCGTTTCGGTTGGCTTACGACGCAAACAGCAACGGGAAGGGGTGGACCGTCGCAAAGTTGCGTTCAAGGCCCAATCCGAACTCGCCGTTGATGGGTTTGTGCGACTGGGGTAGCGCAAAGGACAAGCAGAGAGCAGAGCACGACGCAACGGCTTTTCTCCCGCCGGTGTGTTCTTAGGTGTTGAGGTAAGCAGGAAGCTGGAATAATCGGTTAAACATAGACCATCCGGGAAGTCATTGACACCGTCCTCGTCCCAAGGCTGGCTTGGTTGGCGCAGCCGAACCCACCACTAACAACAGCCACGGCGATCCGGGGAAACAAAGGTGGTGTACCGTGTTGGAAGGGCAAGTCAGTGTAATCCGGTGCGCCACCCCCGGTCTGAGTCAGGCTGGACCTGGGGAAGCACTCGTCTCGGGACGGGCTGCGGCTTGGCCAGTCACAGTCAGCTCGGCCGTATATCACGGTTGGCAGCTGAGGAACGGTATGGTGAATGGTAAGTAGCCGAAGTAAGAATAGTACTCTGCATGTGTTGGTAGGTGAGGGTGAGAGTGAGGTTGTAGGCGGTAAGTGTCCGTAGACTACGTAGCTGACTGCCAACGTCAAGGACAAGGCGGTCAAGTATGCAGCTGTCACCGCCCAGCGGCTTGTCTGCTGCTTGGTGTGTTGTACCGGCGTTTGAGTAGCATCGCAGAAGGCGCTGTATGGGAATTGTACTTGACGGCTTAGGTGTCAACTGGCGAATTCGGAAACATTGGACGTTGGGGGCCAACTAGTCAGTCGACAACCAGCAAGCAGGCAGGAAGAGTCAGAGTCAGAGTCGGATTCAGGAAGGCAGCACATCCATCCTTTGCGACGGATTCGTGGGTTTGTCTTCGTCGCAACTCTCGCAAGGCGGATGCGGGATGTGTGTGTGCTTGATTGTACGGAAGGATGTCCAGGGGTGTCGGAAGTGGTGGTGTTGGTGATGATGTCGGTGATTGTCTGGAGGAATGGAGGAATTTCGGGACTGAGACGGAATTCCACAGCAAACACACTGATTCGAGTCGCATTGTTGCATCCGGGCCATCCATCCAGATCCAAGCCAGTCGCATTCCCAAGAGTGATTGCCCTGAATCATCCCAAAGTTTGGGGAGGACGGGCATTTGATGCCTGCCGGCAGGGCAACGCAGCACAGCACAGCACAGCGCAGGCAATTGACATTGCTGCGGTGATGAATGGGTTTGACGATGATTGATGGCTGGCAACCCCTGATTCTTGGTGGTCGGTTCGGTAAGTGACGAGTCTCTTTCCCATGACGACGGAAGAAAGAACAAGCGCCGCAAATGACGAGGATCCATGTCCTCGCCTGAAGCTGCCCGCGGCCCTGGCCCTGCTCTCTATGCCTGACTCCGGGCAGCTGGTATCACAGCGTTGGCGACATGATTAAGATGAGATGCCGGGGTAGGACGGGCTGGGGTCGCGACAAAAGCGACCGAGGGCGACGAAGACGGCAAAATTCCTTTTGCAAGAAATAAAAAGGGTGCCGAAAAAGAACAATCATTCAAAAACCAAATTAGCGAGAGGCCGGGGAGGTCAACCCGGCGCAGTGGATTGGACGGGGACAGATCGGGAGAGAGAGACAACGGCCGTGAGCCGGGGGTACGGAATTTGTTTTTTCTTGTCGCTAGGAACGGCCGTGATTGCTTTTTGCAGGACGGGTCTGGCAATCTCAGGGCGAGATTTCGGACGCGATTCTGCCGTTCTCGTTTGTGACTGGAGCGGGATGGTCGCGGATGCAATGCGATGCGATGCGCTCGACACCGCCGATTTTGACTTCCTTCAGCCCTGAAGGACGGGGACGGTGTGCTGCTGGATGCAGCCACGGCAGAATGTTGGCACACCTACTTTTTGGTGAATTGTTGGTTGCTGACAATATTGTAATGGAATGGAATTGTTGAATGTTGTACTCGTACAAGGCGGTAGGGCGGGGGCCGTAGGGCAGACATTGTCGACAGCTGGAACAGGAACAAGATCGGACGTGAAGGTAACCATCCGTCCATCCATCCACTATCTGAGTAGTCCGTATCCTTAGGTAGGTAGAGAGTGTAAGTCGGCGGTGAGGCTTGAGGAGGAGCATTTCTGTCCGCTGTGGCTCCCCGATACCGAATGCATCTGTCGCGCATCTGCGCTTCGTCCTCTTTTCCTCCCCCTCCCCGGTCGGCCCCCCTTTGAAGGAGGGGAAAGGTTGAAGGTGTTGAGGCCCAAGGAAAATGAAGAATTTGAAGCTGGAACCTGACGATCCACGAGGGGGCTTTTGCGCAAGAGGGCGGGGTGATTGATTTCCTGAAGCAGTGAAGCTGTTTGAGATGCGCTGGTGAGGGGGTGTACGACAGCCAGCGACGTAGACGTGGACGAGGACGAGGACGACGACACGTACCTATGGTCGAAACCCCCTCATTGTGAATTACTCGGTGAGAGTTTTGCGATTTCAGCGAGAGATGTCGATGAGGTGATTCGTGATTCGCGCGACAAGTTGCAACAGCCAGCGAGCGAGAGATTTGCCAGAGACCAGACGGAGAAGCACCGAGCGGGAAGGAGCCCAGGGTAGGGCCTTTCCTTCAACTGGAAGGTACCTTCCACACTCGTCGGGCAGCAAACATGTACCTGCCCTTGCGAGTTGCTGGCCCCGACCCGCGACCCGCGGCAGGCCAGACTGTGTTCCCCGGCGCAGAAAGAAGGAAGAATGGAAGCTGTGGACACTTTGCAGGCCTCGACATGCCCAAAGGTGTGGTCTAGGGGGGCCTGGAGGGCCTGGGGCCGCCAGTCTGGAGGCGGGAAGGAAGTCCAGACAGGGCAGGCCACCGGGGGACCTCTTCCTGACGAACCGCTACATGCCCTGGAAATGGGCCAAAGCTGTTGCTG